AACGTATGCAAATGGTAGCTATATTGGAAATCAATAGCGAAACCCCCATAGACTTTGATGGGAGAACAATTAGGTTGCTGTTGGTTGTCTTTGAATTCCCACACTGGGTATGTCTATCGTTTGCTTGGCTGGCATTGTCTTGAAAAAAACTACTGGCTTTTTTCCCTTTCTTCTGGATTGCTTACATACATTAACTGCAGTAATTCTTATACTAAAGCCTACTTGTAATGGACTGGAATAAGCTAACTTTCTTTTAAATTGTATGTGACTTGTTTCCTGGCCCTACTGTGGTTCAAAAGACTGCTAGCACTGCAAAGTGTTCACGTAACACCTCGCACAGAGTTAATAAGCACAGTTATTTGAATCTTACTGTGCTTTCCTGGAGGATTATTGTGAAAAAAAGAAAGAGAATAGCAGTTTACTATGAAGATGTGAAATAACCCTGCTTTGAGGCACTCTAACACTATCTAGTGGTGACTTGCACCCACTTATGATATCCTCACAGGTGCCTCAGGTGTGAGTAAGAATTGGACCAAGGGTTGTGGATTCGGTCATCTGCTGCAAGCAGAGGGTGTGGACTAGGGCAGGTGCTGGAGGCTATGCTGTGTCAGCATAAGTACTGCACTGTGAGTTAGGTCAGGGAACTGAAAGAGTTGACAACATATTTTATTTTATTTTATTTTATTTTATTTTATTTTATTTTATTTTATTTTATTTTATTTTATTTTATTTTATTTTATTTTATTTTATTTTATTTTATTTTATTTTATTTTATTTTATTTTATTATTTTATTTTATTTATTTTTGCTGAGCTGAATCTGCCTGTTCCCTTGATCACCCCACAGCCAGATGATCACCAGTGGCAGACCAAGGAGGGAGCTGGGTGTTTGGTGAGGTGGGAAGGAAGGTGGGCTCACTGCTTTTCACAGCAGCCCTAAAGCTGAAGTATAGTTTAGCAAGGGTGTTGGAGCCTGGGCATCTCGTGGGAGGGCACAGGAGGACCCTGGTTCCTGGGGGAGCGGCCCCAGCTGAGGAGCACTGTTTGCTGCGCTGGGCAGGGCAGAGGCTGCATGGCGGTTTCTTGGGGTGAGTTGCCCACCAGGGCTCCTCCCTTGGTGGTGGGTGAGAGCTGCTGAGGGATTATATCCTCAGATGTCCTAGCTTGGGACAAAATCACTAAGATCAGAGGAGCTGCCACATCTCAGGGAGCTGAAGATACGACTCTATGCCTGTGTGAAAGCCAGCACTGCTGAGCAGCAGAGGGAAGCGTGTGAGGCAGGGGTGGTGGCCATTCTTGCATGGGTGGAGGACACATTTTCACACTTGAGGTTCCCCCTTTGTTTGCTGATTCCATCTAACTGGGTCCTCTGAGCAGGGGGGGGAGCTGTGATGCCTTCATGCTTTGTCGAGACAAGGCTTTGTGGTGAGCTCTGTGGCTGCAGAGAATAGGGTGCCCATGGGGGTGAGACTGAATGTGATGGTGCGGGTAGGCTGCTGGCCTTCCACCTCTCTAATGTGCATGTATTTATAATTTTCCTCTGTGCCTTGAGTTTTTCTCCTGGCTTGGGTGTTTTTTAAAGCTCACAGAAAGCCTTGCCCTGGCACTGCCCTGACATTATGAAAGCGGAAGATAAGAGAGCCTCCTGTTTGAAGAGACAAGTATTTGTAAATATGTCTTGTGTGTGTTTCCCTGCACAATATCCTCTTTCTGTGTGCTCATTTGGAGAAGCTGTTCTTCACTTCTCCTCTAAAATGTTTTTGTGCAGCATTGCTGATGCAGAATGGTTGCCACGTCCCCTGCAGAGGGGACTGATTGATCCCTCCATATACACATATATAATCTGTTGAGTGATTGCTCACAATAAGAGGCACTTTGCAGAAGTAAATTATTATTACTATCATACCATTACTTTACTCCTTTGGAACAAGGCCATTTCCCCCCCACTATCAACATTCCCTGCTAGACAAATAGTAGTGCAGATACTCTCGGGATGAGTCACGAGGCTGCTGCAATACCATGGCAGCTCATCCTCAGATAAGAAGCTCGTTTCCAGTGCAATGTGTCCAGTCACCACTGACTCAGAAACTGGAATCCCAAGGTTGCTCTTGAGTCAGCACTGGTATGACTGTCACTAGGCTGCCTTAGCTTGTCTGACATTTTCACTTATGATGAAAATACCAGGCTGCTGTTGTCAATGCAGGACCTGTGTGACTGCAGAGAACTCTGAATAACTAACACTATCCTAGTGGAAATAATTCCAGGGCTGGGACTTCCAATGCTGTGTTCATGCAGAGCCACCTCATGGGTGAAATGGCAACCTGAGAGCCATGCTACAAAATTAGTCTTGAAAGCTGTACTTTTACGTCTGGTCACATAAGCAAGTGTTGCCCTGAAGGTGACCATCCTAGCAATGAGACAGCCCTGGCAGCAGCAAAGTGTTCTCACCCCCAGATATCCCTCACCATTCCCTGGGGCCTCTACTGAGTCCTGATACAACCCTGAAGGAGTTACTTGCAGACCCAACCATCAGTCATAGGATTCTCTCAGTCATAGGCATGTCTTAAAAACCTATTTCTGGGTCCCATTCAAAAGCTTCACCAGCTTCTAGTAGTTTGCAAGCTCCTCTTTGGGAAGAATTCGTGAGTGGGGATTTGTTCATCATGTAATCCTGTAGCAGTAATGTCAATGTCTGCTTTAATGTATACCGAGGGATATCTTTAGATCTTTACTTTCTCCTGAATTTCAGTAATCAGGTGAAGTGCTAAGGCTTGGAGAACCAGCCCAAGCCAGAATTGACTTATAGATGAATCCTGTATATTTTATAACTGAAACCATTGTGCTAGTAAGTATTGTACTAAATTATAACAACCCACTTATGCTGATATAAAAAGTGCTAAAGCATTGAAATACTTAAGCCTGAACAACAGGCCCCAAGCCGAAGCTGCTAACTTAGTATGTAATCATTAACCTAGTATGTAAACTCACTAGTGAAAGATGCGGCTTAGAATATAATCAGTAGTGAGGACGAAATGCTGAGAGACTGTATGCAACTTCCCTTGTGTAGCCTTGTGCAAGGCTGAGAACCCACGTATCTGGCCTTGTTAGAAACTCCCTTGGTTTCCCCCCTGAGCCCTGGCCAGGCTTTGGGTGGAATCCAACAGGAGAAGGAAACCAGAAATTTTCCACTCAAAACAAAGGTGCCAGCTATTCTGGCTTGCTGATTTTGGGGTATATAAGGCGGGACCCGCTCACAGCGACTTTGGCAGCCTCACCTATGGGTGGACGCACCGCGTAGGATTTCCCACTTGCTGGGACAGGCTCTGCAAATCCTCGCTGTGACCGGGGCTCCCCAGCCACTGCGGATCTGGATGATGGTAACATATGCAAGTGGTGATGTATCTTTCTTAATCACTATTCTCTCTCTCTCATGTAGTAATGATTACTTGTATTTTCCTATTTGCTGCTTTAGGTGCATTATTCTGCCTTTTCTTACTCCATGTTTTACTCTGTTACATTATTTGGTTATCGCTAGTAAAATATGCCTACTCTTTTCTCTCTGGTGTCCAAGTTTAACTGGTACCCTTAATCAGCAAAACACCAGGGCTTTGGCTGTTGTTAATTTTCAGTACCTTTTGTACTTGGGAAGGCTATGGATTGAGCTAAACTGAGAGAGCAAAGATGCTTGTCTGAGGGTCTGAGGGTGCCTACCTTTCTCATTGTATTCTGTTTGGTCACTATGGTATATGGAAGGGCACAACTTGTCCTGTAACAGCAGGATTCAGTGTATTTAATGTGCCGTGGTGTCTGAGCCATGGGTGACAGCAAGTGATCTGTGTCCGAAGACCTTGGCAGACAGGGGTTTGGAGACTGAGTGGTACCTGTGCATTTTTGCCTTCTCTGGGGTATGATAAAGGGCCGTGTCTATATCCAGAGCTATGTGCTAATACATAACAGAAATTATCACAATGTCTAGAGCAATCTTGTTCTGAGGATTACGGCACACTGATTCTTGCCAATCAAACTGCTAGGAGGTTTGAAAAAGCTATTGAAAACCATATCCAGAAACCAGTGACGAATGTGGAACCTCCTTCCCTTAGTAATTTGACTAATTTCACTACCTCATTTTAAGAATGAGCAACAAAAAGAAAAGAGGTTAGACCTGCAAGGTGGCACAAGTCAGTGCACCTTCACTGAACTAAATGGAGCTGTGGCAACATACACCAGTAAGCCATCCAGTTCAAGGCCTTAAAAACTTTAAATTCATGGATATTCCCTGCTGATGGCTGATTTTTATTGGTGTGCTTTGGTACAATGCTTCTGAAGTGCAGTACTCTGTCAGTTCAGCACATTACATAAGCCTCAGGCTTGCTTCACTTTTGTTCAGCTTTTTCTGGGCACCAGAATTCACTCTTATTTTATGGTGATGTAAGTCTGGAATAAAGCCACAATACACTGGCAGCACTCCTTCAGGTATGGGTTTGTGCAAACAAGAAGTGTGTTTGTCCCTGTCTGAAAGTTCTTGCTGGCTTGATAAGTTGGATGTTTTTCAGGTTATTTTTATCTATTTATTTTATTTTTCTTCTTGCTCACTCGCTACAGAAAAAGGGCTACCCACAGTTACAGTATATACAGATGTACATGCCTTGCTCTTAGATTCCTTGCAGGCAAACAGTGATAAATGTGGAGGAAAAAAAGGACAGCTTTTAAAGAATGACCTTAGGAAACAAAAACTGCAAAACCAGTTGCTGTGCCTGGTGTTTCATCTGTGAATACCCAGAGAAATGAATTCAAACACAAGTGGGAAGTGCATCCATATCTTTGGGTAGAGGAAACTGAATTTTTTTGCACAGCAGCTGGCTCTTTGGGGTCAGTCCTCTACTGATCTACCCATGGGTTTCCTCACTGAAAGAGGAAAGAGGTCATTGCTGTAAGATATTTAAAATGAAATATCAATGTGCAGTAACTCTTCTATTGCCTAACAGTCCTTGTTTTTCTCATTACATTTTAGATCTCTTGGCTTGAGAAGCAAGTATCTTCTGAGGTCAGTCTCCATCACACAGCAGCTGGACTGTTTTTTGGTTAACTATTTTCAAGTCTTACCTTTTCTTTTTCTTTCTGTGAAATATGTTTACAGTGTATTTGGCCTAATTGTCTTTGGCATTGATTCTGACCTAGTGGGACTGTTGCATCATTGGATATTTATATAAAGAATTGATGTTTGTTTCATTAGTTCCACAACCAATGCTGGGATCTTGGAGTAAACCCTTTGTTGCCTTTAGGTGTTTCTTCCAGGTTCTTATGCATAAAATTTCTGAGATTCCCCCTGGTAAAAAGAAGAAATTAAAAAGTGAAGTAACTACTCACAAAAGCCTAGAAGAACATTCAGTTTAGAAAGACCTTTCATTCAGGAGCATAGCTGTTAAATGCAGGTTAGCTATGAACATGGGGAGATAATTTTGCCTTGCTCTCAGCAATGGATGCAAAGACACCATCACTTTCCTGTGCTCCCTTTTGATGTCCAGTGTCACCTGAATATTTCTATGATCTGCAAGCTCAATGTAATTTTCTGACTGCCATTTCTTGCTGAGGCTGAAGATTATTTGGCAAATGCACATTTGAACCTCACCTCATGCAACCTTCAGCTTTCTCAGAAGGTAAAGAAGCAGGGCCTGAAAGTCCTGTTGAGGGATCTTGAAAACAGAAGAGGGAGAAATAATAGGCAGTAAAATGAAAGACTTTCTTGACCTTCTTCTTCATGCTGTTTTTTGTTACCTTGGCTGAATATATCCTTGCTTGCCATTGGTCATATAGATTGGATGCTCATCGTCTTTGAATCTATGCCACTCTACATTTGTCTATGGAAAAGTAAACCCCATCTTCCAAGGAATCAATCTCAGCTCATGCTGGGACATGAGAAAGTGATAGAGGTAGTTCATAAATGATGCTGGGAAAGAGCCAGTCTGAATAGGTATCTCTGAGTTAATAACCTTAACTTCTCTTTAAAGTCAAAGAAGAAGTGTTTTCCTCTCATGTATCCAAAACAGATTATATGACTCATTCCCTAAAACTATTGATTTCTCTCCAAAGCATATGAAGAGGACCTATCTTAGCTTAGCTCAGTTGTGAATGTATGTTGACAGATGCCTTAAGGTCTGGTGAATCCCACTCTTGATAGTTCTAAGGATGCAAAGGGGAGCTGAGGATACTTACAGTTTGCAGGAAGTGCCAACCCCGATTTAGAACAAGGGAATAGCTGTTCAAATTAGACATAACTGACAAATCAGCCTTAATTCAGCAAATTGCTAGCAATATCACACTCAGCACAAAAAGAACATGATGTTTCCTGTTCTCTGTGGGCTTTTTTAGACATGGAAAAAAATCTGATATAGCACAAAATTGTCACAGAAGACTGCATATGGCTGATGCCTTATATAGGTTTAAAGGAAATTCCCATGACCGCATTTGACCTTCCTGTTTTTTAAAACACAATCAGCATCCATATAGTTGTGCACCTGTGTATTATCATGTAGTTTGCACATGATGAAGCTGCTGAGATATGTTAAAATTGGCAGGATGCAGGTTGATATACCTGCCAAGGCAGGAGAAAAATTAAGTTGTCTGTAAAATATGTGCCTTCACTTTAATAAACTTGGTTTAGCTATAGCACAAAACACTCATCAGAGTACTGAATAAAATAGTCATTTCAGTGAATACAGAATGAATACCAGAGTGTGTTTTTTGAAATACACACTCTTGATGCAATTCCCTTACTGAGTATTTTCTTCTGGGAAATAAACATTGTCATACATGGTCCATTTTGCTAGCAACTCATCTCATTTATTCACCCAAGTTCCATACAGTTCAGCTTGAATTCTGCAGAAGAAAAATCTTACCATGTAAAGGATGGGGTCTAAGATACTGTTTGACTACACAGAAAATCATACTACACCTCGAATCACAGATTTTTTGGTACTTATTAGATCTTTATTACTTGAGTGAAAAGAGTGGATGACATGAATAGTTCTTCTGGTTGATAGATTGGGTCCAGAATGCCCAGAACCTTGTGGGATTGAGTATCTAAAACCCAATCTGACAAGATTTATACCTACAATTAACATCAGGCACTGTTGACATCTCCGGAGAGAGATGCCCAGCATACAGGTAAGAACCTGTAGAAGTCTTTGAACAGCTGAAGTTTTAGCTTCCAGGCTGAGAAAAGTGTATTTTAAATATAGCACTAAACCCCTCAGAGGCTGGGTTCTACTTTCCATTCAGCTCTAGACTGTTATTTCACCTGGGAAATTAATCATATCTCAGAAGAAAGGTTTTCTGTTTGACTGAATTGAGGAATTGGAATTCCCAGGATAAAATGTATTCCAGATACAGTAGACACTTCTATAAATACTTTGAATTTAAGTAGGAATAATTCACATGTAGGAATCAATTGGTGATTTATTTGTTCATTTATGTATTGACAGAATTGTATTTTTGGTACTGAAGAGCATAGATCCATACAAGTGATGCTGCACTTCATTGGCTTTGACAGTCATTTTGTTTCTGAACATTTTACTGAGTTTTGTTGTAGCCACAGAATTCCTGGCTGAACGCAGAGGACACAACTGGTCTTGACTGCTGCAGTTAGTTACACTGTCAGAAAAGAGAGTGGGCAAGTACACATTGCCAATCTCAGGCTCACATCTGGGGATCTTCAACATCATAGGATTAGGAGGGTGGATCCCATGTAGGATGGATGACTAGAAGCAAAAGCAGGATCTGAAACTATTTCAAGGAAAATACAAATGTGATTCTGGGCCTTTGTAAGAGTTTCCTCCTGAGGTGAAGAAGGGGATCTATTCTCACCTAATGTTAGACAACTGCAGTTGCCTGCCTTTGGGGTAACTTCCTTCACAAGAAGTGGGGAGGAAGAGGTGCTTAAGGGTCATAATTGATTTTCCCTATCCTACCACCTGTCTTAGGATGAGATTGATCACAGCTGCACTTACAAAAGCCTGTTTCTCCACTGACTACAGAGAGACCTTGAGGGATAGTAAAGGTGTACATATCTACACTGCAGTCCTTTGTAGTTAAGGAAGGTGAACATCACCCCTGCACCTCTTATCCCAGGACTCCTCTCTATCCCTTCAACTGAGTCAGGTAGCAATGTTCATCTGCTATGAAATACTTTCCTACAATTTTCCTAATCCTTATGCTGAATTTTGTCTAGCCTCCAGATGTTGTGGAGAAATGCCTTCAAGAGGCCCCAGTTTGTATCAGGCGCATAACTTGAAGCTAGGCATGTACTTAAGTAACCAGATGAACAGGTATCTCATTGATTTAGATGTGACTTAGCCACATTTGAGCAGGATGTGGGACAAAGCGCTCAGAACCCAAACCTAATAAACACATGTATAAAATATTGCATCATAGGTAGAGTGATTTTAAATTGTTACAAGCAGTAAGTAGATGGTAGTTTTATCTACTGTTATGGAGAAACTGTTGGAACCAATTGTCCAAAGCCTTTGTTGTAACCACATTACAACATTATTATTTTCTCTGAGAATGGTAATGAGGATGAATTAGGCAATAATGCAAACCCCTTTGAAAATGAAAAATAACACATAAGATCATTGTTTCTGTGCTCTTTGGATGCAGAGGCTAAAACAAAGGCTATCTTTCCAATAGCCTCTCTCTTTGTACCCTTAGTTTTATGATTTCCTCAGGCTTATAAATCTCATGCAAGACGTAAGGATTGTAAGGAGAGAAAAATCACTCTATCAGGTGAATTTACATCATTCCTCCTTGTTGCCCTTGTATTCAATTATTTTCATCCTTAATGGTCTTGTTGTTTTCCCTATATATAAATCAAGCTACACTGACATGCAAAATTAAGTATAGGAAAATCAGCTGCTAGCTTTATTGTCTGATGGGAATGGACTACCCAGATATTTTATGCTACTAGCATCCAGGGAAAAGTACCTGAAAAAGAGTTGCCTTTTTGTGCAAAATTTTCTTGATACTGTCTGCACCTTCTAGCCTACATCTTTAAAAAGAGGGACAGCGTGATCTGGTTTCTGTTGTATTGGCCTGCAGATCAGTGGGTACCTTGGCCATGCCAGGGACAGCTGACAAATCTTTGGCAAAGTTCCTTCACCTCTGTGTCTCTTTCCCATCTAAATACTTGCCTTTTAAAAGGTCCTCATATTCTACACCAATAAGACTTTCTATTTGCAGCTACAATTGGTTTGCTATGGCATTCTTCATAAGGAACTGAATGGACAATTCTGGAGAGAGGGAAGATTTTAATTTATCTTTTTTACACAAGGGTTTTTTACTCGATGAGTTGGAGTGTAAAGTTCTTTTTGGGTAAGTGCATATGATTGCTTAAACGAGCTGGCAGATTTTTCTACTCGTTCCCGTTTTACCAACTGGAATGGTGTTTCAAACTTAACATGAACTGTTGGTACGCTTCCCAGTTCCCTCATTAGAACAAGCCTGATGGTGTTGCCTACTCATTTGATTGTAAGCTTTTCGCAACCCATTTCCTTATCTTGTACATTTAAAAGCACTAGAGAACGGGTTCCTGATTCTAGTAGAGACCTTTGGGAATTGCTACATTAAAATCACAATAAATGTTGAACTTCTGCAACCCTTCAAGCCACAACAGAGTAGGTAAAATATTAGAACAAACGTAGGAAATGTTAAATGCCATGTTGATTTGGAAATTGTATTTAATACTGTCTCAAAACATAGGGCTGCGTTTCAAATGATATGAGTCATCACTTTTTTTATCAATGGATCTCATACTGATTTAACTATTACTATCCATCTGAGTAGTAATGGTTTGGAATGAGTGAGATGGCTAAAGATTTTTCCACTGTAGATGATACCTCTTCTACATGATTTGAAAAAGACCAAAGCTTAGAAGGAAGGAAGGGCAGAGACCATAAAATAACATGGGCATGAGAAACTAAAGCATGCATCTCAGAGGGAAAAGATGTTGAAGCTGGAGGACTCCAGATTTGTGCTCAGGTTTGGGACAGG